ACTAGTCAGTCAATCTTCCCTTAACGAGATTTCAGAACAAATTATTTGTCTACCTTCTCCTTACAAAATTTAAACTATTTTACTTTCACATTTTCTGTTTGTGAAAAAATTTTAGAGGCAAATTATTGGTATACTTTCTCCTCGCAAACATCTAAGGTTAATTGCACCACCTTCTCTCAACAAGCTTGAAGTATTATTAGTCTACCCTTTTATAATGAGATTTTAAGGCTAATGAGTAAATTATTTTGTCTTTTCGTGTAAAAATTTAATATAAAAGTGAAAAATACAATACCTTATTGAATTAGAACTCAAAATATCAAATCACTCATTTTTTTTAATTTTTAATTTGTTAACGAAAAATATAATAACCAAAAAAAAAAAAAGCATTTCAAAAAATAGATTATGTTTAAGTGTTTAATTCCAAAACAAATTAACTTAGTAAAAAAGTTATTTTTCCTCCTATCTAATCAACTCCCATTATTTTTATCTTATGCTTAAAGGTATAAATTATCTCCAAATTTTTTGTACTACATGATTTAACTAAATATTTCAACGCTAGTTTGTTCTCTTCAGATGACTTGTGCTATCTTTATGAATTTAACAATATTTTTTTTAATATGTTTCTTAAATATAATAAGTATGATAATATATTATACTCTTTACTAATTTGTACAACTATTAAAATAAATGTTTCTCATATTATACATTTTTCACGTAACAAATCATAAATTTAGAACGTACTTTTAGAAAAATTAATAAAGAAAAAAAATGAGCAAAGAATAAGATCAAGAGATAAATGTAAGAATGAGATAGTATTATGAGCAGATGAAACATGATATTTATAGGTCAAGGTAGAGTGAAGTGAAACCATTAGCATAAAAATCTTTATCCTCTGTTTGTATTATAGTAAATGATAGAATTTTAATATATAGTATTTTACGGGCGTGAGAAAATTATATTTGTTTCAACATCTAATAGTAACAAATAGTATTTGACTAAAAAAATTTGGGATGAATTTTTAAACCACTAAATTGATGATATTTGGTGGACATTCTATTTGTTTTCTATTATACCCCCATCTAATTTAATTAATTCAATATATATTTTGACAATTAAAAATTTATTAAATTAATGTGATAATATAAATAATTATTATTTATTTTATTAAACATAAAATTTTAATTTAATTATATATAATAATTATTTATTTAAATATAAATATAATTATATTGATAAATATTTTTTTTTTTCTTTACATACTTCTTTTATACTATTTATTATTACATATAATGTGTATGGATAAATTAGTAATTTAGCTAAAAATACAACCATATTATCCTATAATATG